TCCATCTAACCAGCTGCTTATCTTTGTGAAATAAAGTTTGGTTAGCTATTGCTCCCTCTTGTGGCATGGGTCTTTATAGCTAGACTTTCCTATATCAGCTCATATGCCCAATATAATGTGCAATGCTTGTTACATTTACATAGCTTCTTAAATAACAGGCCAGCCTTTGTGGACCTTCAAAAATAGCATCCTATATCACAGCCATTTATGCTGATCTGAATATGTGAATGAGTAATCAGAGCTCCAACATCATAGACAACATTTCCACATAACCTTATGCCAGTCTGTTACACTATTTTTGAACAGCATGATTTAGACTTTCAACTGAGAATCAAGTACTAAATAATTAGTACATTGTATAGAAGTATCATTTTGTCCAATTTACGAAAAGTAGCACCAGTACATACAGTACATGAAAAGGTTCTCAAGACTGAATGATTATGTGTGGGGATAAGTGGATGAGTGTGTAAGCAATCCCAGAAACTCTTTTTTTTTCTGAAATTCCTCAGGGGCCTTCACCCACCAAACATCTGCCATGGCTAGGAAGAAGTACTTCTACTGCTGGATTTAGTTTTAGCCTTTTTTCTCAGTGTTAATGCAGATGAAATTTTATTTTCCTGCAATATGACACATATTTGTAAAATTTACAAAAGCAGTAAGGAGGAGGATATATATGGTACATATGTTGTTGACTGGTAGTCCAGTTCAAGGGTCTTCAAACTTGGCCCTTTTATGACTTGTGGACTTCAACTCCCAGAATTCCTCAGCCAGCCACAAGTCATAAAAGGGCCAAGTTTGAAGACCCCTGGTCCAGTTGCTCCTCTATCTTCAGCTTCATGGATCTTAATTCCAACACAAACCCTACAAACACACATACAATATCTAGAAATTTCAACTGCAATCTCCAGGTCAGAGACCAGCCACAAATTGCATAGTTCATCTAATGGATTAGTGTTAAACAGAAAGTAGAATCTTGGGCTTTCTATTGAATGTACTGTGCATAGTTCTTTTTACAACTATGTAACATTTGGCCTTTGGGAGAAATATACTTCAGATCAATGAGATGTTTAAGCAGTTCTCTTCTTTGTTAACATAATATGGGGCTTTTTTGTGACAGCATTGTTATGGATTTCTTTTTAACAGACTGGCCCAATATTCAGTAACTTTGGAATAGGCTGTACAAACAGTATATCATTCTCTCTGTAGTTTTGTTTTGCTTTGAAGCCATTTTTTTCACTCCCACCAATTATAATGCTCTGTTTTATTTTGTTTACTATATTGGAATTAACTATCTTGGATTCTTTGCTGGGCCTTACAAGTAGTAATAGTGAGGCATAGAGAAAAATCTAAAGGAACTCATCCATGTCTCCCTATTACTGTTAATTTTTAGTGGCCAGGACCCAAATATAACATTTTTAGAGATGGGTAAGGCTGCGGTAGACGAAACAAAAGAAGAAAATTGATGTATGATGAATTTCCCTTTTAGGTTTATAGGCATTGGAGACTTTTTGCTGTTTGTCTTGGTACCTCAGAATGATTGGAAACTGTTATCACTGATTTGGTCTACTGAACAATGTGACTGAAAGGAACACTACAGCCTATTTCTGAAGTTGTCATATGCCATCATATTTATACTGTATAGCAGTTTAACTGACTTGCTATAACTTCATGTCATTGTAACTCTGATAATGGCAGTGTAATTAGCCACTATGTAACTTAATGATAGTCTTGCACAGTAAGATTTGTACAGCCAGGTGATTGAAATGTGTTTTGTCCCTGAAGATTCATGATAACATTGAGTACTTCAGCAGCTGGCAGAGACCCATGCTTGATTTATCAAATAGAACATTGTTATAACAAATGTTTTAAACATGGAACATCAGTACTTCTATAGCAGCTGTTGGATATATTATTTTCCACAAATGGTTGCATTCCTATTCCATGGAGATTTAAAGAAATGTTCTTATGTCAAACTGTTGCTTTTTCATTTTCCGCTCTATCTTAACAATTCTTTAACAACTGAAAATGTAAATATTAATCTGAGGACAATTGCTCTTAGACAAAAAAGGAACAGCATAGCTATATGTTAATATTTCATACTGTAAAAGACAGCATAAAGAGATATAGACTTGTACTGCTAAAACAGCTTGTCTGTCCCAGTGTTTGAAACCTACTCTCCTACTTAAAACAAACTAGTTCTATATCAGCATCAAATGTAAAAGTCAAGTTTCTCTTAAAAAAAAACTTATAAGAAGAAATTATATGATAAAGTAAACTTGCAGAAATTAAGCAAGTCTTAGTCTAGTTTTCTTCCATTAGTCCATAAATAGGTCTGGATATAAATATTTGTGCTGTGCATTAAAAATGTCCCCATTTTCCCCTACTATTCCCATTCATGTTTTTAGATTAAAGTTGCTCTCAAAATTTAGTTCAAAGTTCTTTCTCTCATTTAATAATGAGGTGACTAATGCTGATGTCCTTTTGTATATGCAATAATTTCTCTATCTTTTCTTCAGTTTCTCTGCGTCTCCAGCCTTAATCACAAGGGAAAATATCAAGAAGGAATTCCTTCCACTCAAGTTTTTTAGACAGAAAAGTGTGAACAGATAAAGAGGCTTCAGAATTATTGTTCTACCTGTAGCACTCTTCCTCAGTGCCAGTGATCAACTTTAAAATACAAGGAAAAAAATTCAGAAGGAGTAATAGAACAGTCTTAGAACATTGTTAAAAAAAAGAAAATGGACTTTTGTCACAGAGGAAACTAACATTTAAAAAATCGCTGGGTAGTTAGTGCATACCACTAACAGATATGGTTGAATGAAAGGCAATGTCTTCAATGTTATAAATTGACAACAGATAATGCACTAGAAGCTGTGATGCATTCTTTAGCATCTGTTCTTTCACCTCACAGCAGAAAGTAGGTGTTAGAACTCAAACTCACTACATCACGTGACATGTCGCGATGTATCGCGACTCTTTTTGCATTGCAATGGGGTGGGTGCGGCTTTGGTATGATGAAACCGGCCCACGGCCCGGCAGTTTGACACCCCTGTGTTGGAAAAAGTTGTGTTTCTATTGCTCATGAAATAGAAAAGTGCAACAAGTACTCATTAGCATATTTTAAGCAACATAGTGTAATTCAATTTTTGACTACTAAAGGAGTGTGTCTCCAGTTAAGCTTTAGAAACAAATTCAGGTTATTTATAGTGATTACTGTGTTGATGTGAGCTCTGTGTGTTGCTGAGCCAAAAAATGTTAAGATGGGAAATCATTTGGGTGATCAAACATAAAGAGGACTACCTGAGGCAGCAACCAATGAGTTTCAGATGAGAATGGTTGATGAATTGATTAAAGAAAATCAGTGGATTACACAAAGGGAAACCGCTGTCAAGCTTGACACTTCATAGGAACCTGTGGGTCACATTATCAATGTTCTTTAGTATTGGAAAGTTTGCCCAAGATGGGTTCCTCACATGCTGAGGCAGAAATTAAAGTTTCAAGAGTTTGAAATTGGCATGTTATGAGATTGAGAGTGAGGAATTTATTAACAGTATTGTGACAGCCAATAAAATATGGGCTCACGTCTATGAGCCAGAAATAGTCAGTCCATGAAATACCATCACAAAGCTTCACCTTAAATAAAGGAAAACCAGAATTTCAAAGGCCAGACTTTGACAGGAAAACTTATGGCTAAGTGAGTAAGTGCAAATGGTGTTATTCATATGGATTGTTGACTGTTGAATTTTATTGTAGCACTAATGTTTTCTTTCTTTTGATGTTCAGTCAATGACACAAGAGATGAACACAAGACAAGTTCATTAAGTCAGTTTGGACTCAGCTCTGATATGGAACTAAAAGCAACTTAACATGTTATAAGAAACATAACAAAAGTCTCCATAACAAGGATATGGACAGCTTTTAGTAAATGCCAAATTGATCACAATCCCTGCTTAGTACCTCAAGGGCTGTTTATGGCTTTAACAGAAGTTTATGTCTTTGTTATTCAGACTGACTTGGAAGTTCCTTCTAATCAAAAATGTTTGGGGGTTTCTATACCATTAAATCGTAAAGGTAGCATCCATTTTATTTCCATCTTAGATTTATATCCACTTTTCTATAGATGCTCAGAGAAACTTACATATACATATTCCTTCATTTTATCCCCACAACATCAATTGGACATCAATCTAAAGACATCTAGAGAGTTTCTATGGCTAAAAGTGGATTTGTTCTTGAGTTTCTCCCATCCTTGATTGAACACTTTTCCATGCTACTAGTTCTATTATCATTCCAAACTAAAAAGAACAAGCAGGGGAAGTTAAAGAAATTATTAGATTGGTCTTAATTCTTTTAGTTGCTCTATTTGACTTCAAATAGAACAGGGGTGTCAAACTGCCGGCTCACTGGGCCAGATGCGTCATGCTGAAACTGCGCCTACCCCATTGCCGGCAATGGAAAAAAAGTCACAATATGTTGCGACACATCATGTGATGTTGCGAGGTTAACATCCCTGAAATAGAATTTGCTACTGTTAGCAAACGGAGTCTATGATACATTCCTACGTTGCACAATGAGTTTAGATATTTCCTGTTCTGCCACAAAGGGGAAGTGTTGCCTCAGTTTTGAAAAGCTGTGCAAGTTAAAGCTATAAATTTGTAGTGCATTGTTGAATGTAGGAAGAATGAAGCTGAAACTTCAGAATATGTCTATTTTTTTCTGATTTGTTTTTCATATTATTAGAAAAGTACCTGTGCAAAATGACAGCTTCACAAGAATAAATTATATTCTGATCATATTACATTCATTTTAAATTTTGAAAAGATTTTCCAATTCATATCATTCTAGTTTTTGCATAAAGTTAAAACCACAGTATTGTTTGTTTTGTTGAGCCAATACATATGTAATGAAGTTTATTTTATTTTATTTTATTTTAAAAAATCAACTCTGTATTGAATAGACTACAGCATTTTCTCCACTCATGAAAATGAACAGGCTACAGCATTCTAAAAGGAAGTCTTCTCCAGACAGTATTCAGAAATTGGAAAGCATCTCAGACAGACATATGATATCTTGCTCTTTAAACATCCACTAGGATTGTCATTTGCTTGGAAGCTTCAGTGCCAAAATAAAGTTGCCATGGGAACAGTTTGTTCGCTTCTGCCATTCTTTTAACCCTTTTAGTTCCAGTACAAAGAGGCAAGTAGGAGTTCTGAAAATTATAACAAATTAAAAAAGAAATCCATGATAATATTATTAGTGTTGTGCCAAAATAGGAATGTAATGAAAATATAACATAATTAATCACCTTATAACAAATTACCCATTTTATTTCTACTGTATGTAGTTAGAAATGCAAAATAAGAGATACAGGAAATTTTATTTATCATAACAAATCTGCCATGCCAATTATGGTTTGCCATATAGCAGATATTATTCAGTGATTATCTAAGGCTTAGAAACTAACTCATGGCTTTTAGGCACAATTTACACAGATGTAACACATTGTACATAAAAGCTGCAGACTCTACTTTATGCAGGCTTATGCAACAGTATATCTAAAAATAGAGAATGTATGTATCTTAGGAATATGGTATTGAGTTCTTTGGTGTCCTCTGAGCTTGGTTGTTTTCATGCAAATGTTTCATTACCTAGTCTAATAATGAAATGTCTGCAGGAAAACAAGCAAACTCAGAGGACACCAAGGAACCAACAATATAACTGCCAATATTGGTACTTCACAAATAATTAATAATTGCTGATTACTTACAGAAACAATAACTTTCAAACTAATGTTAACGTGACTAAATGGGAGTAATCTTGTATACATTTATTTATTTTTCCTTGATATTTAAAGTGTAATTGCTTTTGCCTTGAGTCTGATTCCTAGAGCTATTGGTTTTGATTTTCAACAGAAGAGAATAAATCAGCTCAGCCTTGAATTGTATTATTTGTTTTTAGTTATTTCACTACCCAATTAAATAAAATCATTAGTGTAAATGTGATGTCTGCTTCCTGTCTATAGACAGTAGCTTGCCCTGCCAGTTTGGGTGAGGTGTGGTTTTCTCCTTGGTAGTTTCTTGATTAAAGTATTGTTTTCAGCCTGATTAATTGTCTGCTGTTATTCTTTCTTATCTGGTTGTTGGTGGGAGAGGATGTGTCTGTCTTTCTGTTTCTTTCTTCGGGTTTTTTTAAATTTTATTTTATTGAATGGTTTGTAAATATTTTTCATCTACAGTATATGTGTCTATTGATGACTGATTTGTCTGAATGTCAAGCTTCCAGGAAACCCGTAGGATTTTTGGATTTGGCTTGGTTTAGGATACTCCCAGTTTGTCAGCTGAATCTATGGATAAGCCTGTCTAGTGTTGTGAGATTAAGCAGTTTCAATTGTGTCTTCTGACTGCTAGCTGGTGTTCATGGATGGACTCTGCTAGTCTTCTGAATGTCTATCCTACATAGTGACTGTTACTATGTTTACCCTGTATGATATAGATGACTCCTATTTTTTTCTTCTTGGATTACTGGGTCTTTGGTTTGCTTAAGATGATTTGGAGAGCTTTAACTGGTTTGTATGCTATAGTTATGCTATGTAGTTGTAATAGCCTATTGTTTGTTTCTAAGAAGTTTTTGACAAATGATAGTGATATCCTTCTCATAGCTTGTGCTGGTCGTGCCATAGAGGGTTGTGATGTGTGATGTGATTTTTTTGTTTGTTTGTTTTCTTGTTGTTCAGTTGGTTTTGAAACTTTGCCACCAAATAGATTTCATTTCACCAGAATAGTTCATTAAACACTTGTAAGAAAATTTTGTGTCATCACTGGTCCTGCCACATTGTCTTCTGCTATCTACCTTTCCAATTGCCTTCAATGTTCTTCTACTATGGCTCTTGTCTACTCACTAGATGTATAAGATATTTAAGCTTTACCTTGACTGTTACTGCTTATAGTGAGGAGTCTGGGTTTCCTTCATTTAGTACTGAATGATTTGTTCTTCTTATGATGTAAGATATTCACAACAATGTCCTCCAGTATCCCAATTCAAAGGTAATTCAGAATGCTATCTGCACTTCCTCATAATTTTATCTGTTGGGGATTTCATACAAAATTTCATATGAAATTCCCAACATGTATAATGCATTTCATATGAAATTCCCAACAGGTATAGTGTAAACTGGGTAATCTTTACACAATACAAAATTCTGAGCAAGTGGTTAAAAATAAATTCATTTCCAGGTTTCTGACTCCAGATACCTGTAGGTAAAGGACACTCAACTAGAGACAGAAAGATTTCTGTTTTGAGGGAAAATTGAGAGGAGAAAGATATATAATTTTTATCATACCCTCTTTAGTTTACAACAATTATCACTTCAGATCTTTAATCCATGCTCTATTGTTCTTTCCTATTATATTGTGCAAGAGTAAACTAAACACACATTTTCTCTACACAGAATATGAGTATGGGCCATACTTCAATATACTATCAAACCACTGTTATCAATAAATCCTCAACACTGGTAGCAGAATCAATGTAGTCATTGAGTCTTGGTTATAAGAAATATTTTGGCTTTTATTATAGAGAGAGATTAGAGCTGCCTGTGCAGTGTCAGCCAGAATTCTCAGGGTATGTTCATCTATTAATAAACATTGTGCATCGCTTTACCAATATGGTGCATGTAATCTAACCAATGTCTCAATGTGATATCACTTGGGAACCTTTATATACTATAGAAAAGATGCTATTAACATATACATATGTTACACATATCTGTGGATATGCTAGAAAGTGATTTTGTTATCTTCTGAATGCAGACCCTTTTTCTCTACAACTAAACAATTCCTTCTCAAAAATGTTTTGATTCAGGTTCCTTTCTTGAGCATAAGGGAATATAGAATTCAATACAAACTGAAATTGATCTCAGCATTATCTAGGAGTTGGCTTTTTTATTGTGCCCCAGAGATATTTTAGATTTATAAGCATTCTGTAGGCTCAGTTCATGTAGGAAATATTTGCAACAGCATTGATAAGATATTGAAAAGCCTCCATGTTAGTAAATCAATGAAGGGTAGTAATCTATGAGCTTACATTTCTAAGTCCAGAACCAAAAATACTCCATCAGAAATGTGCTTTCTAATAAATGATATGTTGAAAAACTACCTATCCTGCCTCTTTAGACCTTTTGACTCATATTAATATCAGGAACACGTGTCTAGACTTTGATTAAACTAGCTGGTCAGCAAAAATACATGAACTCCAAGTACAAGAAATATGAGTTTGATAGAACAAGAAGTAGTTGATTTAATGAGGTCATGAAACTGAAGATTGGTAACAAGATGTTCCAGGAAAATGCAGCCTGAAAATAAACATGTTTAACTACAAAAAAGTTTCAGGTTGCCTTTTGTTCCTTCTATATACTGTCAGTTCACTTTGTACCCCTTAAGAATTTCATGAAGAAGGATCTATCCTAGTAGACCACCATTTAAGTATGTCAGCAGTGTGCTGCAAGTGCCAAAAAAGCTAGTTTCAAAATCACATGAAGTAATAGTACACTTTATACTGAACTAATGAAATCACTTTTGAAATACTCCATCAAATTCTGGGCATCATGTTACAAAGATGTTGTGAAAGTGTGCAGAAAATAGCAACAAAGATGATAACGGATCTGGAGGCTAAACCATATGATGAATGATTGAGGGAACTAGGTAAATCTAATGAAGAGAAGGATTAGTGTGATATGATAGTTGTCTTCCAGTACTTGAGGGGCTGTTACAGAAAAGAGGGGTCCACCCAATTTCCAAAGCACCTCAGGGCAGGACAAGAAGTAACAGGTGGAATATCATTAAAGAGAGATCCAACCTAGAACTAAAGATAAATTTCCTGAGAGTGAGAACAAGTAATCTGTGTAAAGACTTCCTTCCAGAAATTGTGGGTGCCTCATCAGTGGAGGTTTTCAAGAAGAGACTGGACAGCCATTTGTCCAGTATAGTATAGAGTCTCCTGCTTGAGTAGGGGGTTGGACTACAAGACCTTCAAGGTCCCTTCCAACTCTATTATTCTATGTTATATTTTATATTCCTCAAAGATTTATTCTGGCTCCATCTTACAAGGAGATAAATATGAACTGTATCCTAAAAGAGTTCAGATCTTCCTTTGAGAAGATTCCAAAGATATAATTTATTTTTGCTTTATTTGAAAGACATTTTCTGTGAACCTCATGAAACTATTATGATGGCACAGTAGTTAGAATGCAGTATTGCAGGCTGACTCTGCTCACTGCTTGGAGTTTAATCCTGATGGGTTCAATGTTGACTCAGCCTTCCATCCTTCCGAGGTTGGTAAAATGAGGACCCAGATTGTTGGGGGTAATTTGCTGACTCTGTAAACTGCTTAGATAGCTGTAAAGCACTATGAAGCAGTACATAGGTTTAAGTCCTATTGCTATTGTAATTGTTTGTTTTATTTACTGTATTTATAAGAGGCTCAAAGTTACAGTAGTTTTTATTATGAAACATGTGCCTCTTTAGAAAATCAGTGCAATATTACCCAATATATTATGCTGGTTGCCAATAGTGATTTTGTAATATAAGAACAGGAGAAGTTTTATATAATAGAAAAGTTATATAATAAAGTTATATAATAAAATATAGTAGAAATATATGAACATTCACAAATAATCATATCCATATGTAATATTTCTGAACCTTTTACTGGAAATATTTTGCAAATATGATTGCAGGATCAAAGTATTCTCTAACTAGAGAGAAATTGTATAGTGTTTTTCTCAAAAATATTTCTTTTGTGTAGAGTAAGTGATATATGTATCCCTTTTATTATGGGACTATAAAAATGTTATCCTTTGTTTCTAAAGTGATTCATTATAAGGAGAACATTTTTTAATAATTAAAACTCAAAGATCCATTGCAGATTTTTCTGCACTATGGAAACATACATTTCAAGAAAAAAGTGTTGCAATAGCATAGCAATTTCACACTTTCATTTACATTTCATATTTTTAAATGTTGTTTTCATTATCAGAATATAGCGAGCATATTTTGAGGCAAGAAATTTATATAATTTGCTTCTGATATATTGCAATACTATGTTGCAGAGGACTATTGCTCCAGATTTAAACAGATTCTTATATCCCATTTGTGGTTAGATGAGTGCAGACATTTATCTATATTCAGTTCTCATGAAAAATGTATGAATCTT